CAGAGACAGACACAGAGACAGACACAGAGACAGAGACAGAGACAGACCAACAGACAGAGGGCACTGACAAATGAACAAATGCAGACTGAAGCCGAGAAGTAACCGAAGACACACAGACAAGAGGTATGCAGAAGCCGAGGCGTACACTTTATTAGATTGAGAGGCATGCTGACCCCCCCGTAGACATATGACCCAAACTTAGGCCCAAAGAAAAGATATGCTGACCCAAGTGCCGTGAGAATCTGCATGTGTATATATATATATATCCGCAGCTGTGCTTCATAAATTGTCGCAGTGCCACGACCTCCCACGATACTCAATCCGGTATACGGATCCGGCTGTTTCCCACACGAGCGCAGGATCTTGATGGCTGCCTACGGATTGCAGACTGCGTCACAAAAGCGCTTCCGCTTGTTTGTTGACTATCTAGAAGACTATTAGCATGCGAGTGTGCTGGGCGAAAAGCTTAGCGTTGTCAGTGGTTACTTTTGCAGATTCTTCGCTGGGTTTGTTTCATTGTTTAAACTCCTGCTGGGTTGGTGCGGTGACTTCTGGACGCTTTTGCGTGTGCCTGTCTTATATGCCTTCGTATGAGTAAGCCATGTTGACTTGCTCCTTTATTTTGATCCACACGAGCCAGGTCAACAGTTCTTCCTGCCATTACCAGGCCTCGATGCCGGGTTTTGAACTTGAAAGGTGAAGCCCCGACCAAAAATGAAAAGGGGTGAACCCCCCAGCACAGGAACACAAAAAGGAGATGGCTCACTCCGAATCCATGGGTTCCCTTTGTGTTTGGAGTTGCAGGCATCCTTTCACGATGCCGCTGGCCCATGCCTTAGCAACGAAACATTCGTTTTGCACTCCTAAACTGAAAGGGGAGGATCTTTTTCCGTGGCCGCTTGAACCTGGCGTATGTGGCACCATCGCCCTTGGACTGCAGAGCACACCCTGAGCACCATGGAGCTGTTTTTTCCTCCATTGCGTTCGTCCATGCGCAACACACCACAGTGGCGGACATCTCGAGCCGCCCCCCAAAGGTTTTGGTGGAGTTTGTTTGTAATGTTTATGTTTAGAGCTTAACGTGCATATTGAATGGCCCTTTTGGAGCTTCCAAGGTGCCGGAGACAGGAAGTTCAATCGACAGGCGTGAAGGAGAAAGAAGACAATGCCAACAAGCTTAACCGTGGCATTGCGCATATTGATGGAACAGCAATCCCTTCGGGTGTTTGATCCGCAGCAGTTTCATGGGGACAACATTGCACTTTTTGGTTTGATTTTTTGCAGTTCCGACCAGGCAAAAAACCCCGCAGGCTGGGAATCCTGGAAGCGCTGTGACATGAAACTCCGTTTAGCTGGCAGCCCCCCAGGAGGAGACAAAGGACGAGCACTCGTTTCCCCAGGCAGGAGAACCACCGAGCCGAATGCTATACGGTGATTCTCAGTGCTGAAATCACATGCAGTGGGTGGTTCTGTGACTTGTGTTCCTGGGAAAAAAGTCCATTCTTGAAATTCCGCAAGCTGACAGCTCAAGCCGCTGCAGTTACAGTTGCAACCACAGCCTTTCAGGTTACAATTTTCCTTCAACTTGATTGATCGGTTTCCAAAGAAAACACATCCTGAAGCGAAAATTATTCCAGTATTCTTTTCTAGGTCTTTGCCTTTCGCCATGGCAACGGAGCCTGTCCATTTTCGAATAGAAAACCAGTTTGCATCTGCTGGTGTGCCGCGGAAGCTCTGTGAGAAAATGCCTCAAGAGTTGTATGGCCTGCTTCCCGGTGCAGAATACCAAATGCTTAAGAGTCGTGTCGACAACGAATTCCGAAGCATTGCAGACACATCTATTCGGCTGAACCCGTTTCGATTTGCCTTATATGGCCTCCAGGGATGCAACATAGCTGCAGTCGTGGTTATGGCGATCGTTGACGTGTTCTTGCTAAACGAGCGAAGTGTTGCCCTTTATGTTGCTGAGGGCTGCGCTGTGGTTCTTGGGACCGGGCTCATGGCATTCGGCTTGTTCTATTTGAACAAGCTCTTGACCCGTGAAGCGCTGCAAACAGAAAGTAGACTTCAACAATTGCTCTCTCAGCAAATTGGGAGCTGTCCCATGACATTCAAGCTGACAGTTGAAGCGCGTGCCCGATTTCCACCGATCTATGGCATTGTCGCCGTGCCTATGCAGATGCCGTTTGCATCAGCTTGTCCCGATCACCTCCCAGATATGCTGCCCAACATGGTGGAAACAAAAGCTGGAGCCAATTTCTGCTGAACAAACCGATGTGGAGGTGGAAGGCCAAGCACACCGCCACAGATGCACCTTTCATGGCAAAATGGTGCCTCCCAACTGTGCGCTACCCGTTTCGGGATAGTGTCACACGTGCATGAAAAAATGTGCCCTTTCTAGGATTGAACTGGGTGGCCACCAAGGCTTCTCATCTCGCAGTCATTGTATTTATGGATGTTCATGTTACATGCGCAGCGCGGCACTCAGTGCCAGGTCGGGGCAGGCCAGGATGGATGGACAGCTCGTTGATTGGCCTTGCGGTGCCAGTATTTAGATTTATTTGGCTTTGGCAGGAATGGACAAAAGCTGTGAGGGCTTCAAGGCAGTGAGCTTTGTGAAATGTTCTAGTACCGCCTGCCAACCAACAGCGCACGAGGATGAGGAAAAGTGGTTGCCTCCTGACATGGAGGCTTCAACTCCTATGGCATTAAGGCCAGCTACTTGCAGCTGCTTGTTTGTGACACGGCATGTCTGTTTTTTTAATGTTTTTGGCAATGTTAGGCCCGGTTCTGGTTTGAAAAGGGGTTCTCAAGGCCTCTCTGGGTCTCTGGGCCTTTGGACCTTTCTAGACCTCTAGGTCTCTAGAGGTCTAGCTCTCTCGACGTCTAGCACCTCTCTGGATCGCAAGACGACTGGATCTCCAGCTCCCAAGCGACAAAGGGATCTGAATCTAGACCCTGAATCCTCTAGGTTTCCAGGCTTCTGGACTTCGAGATTTTGATATCCCTGAGTCTCAAGGCTAAGCCTCTAGATCTCTCTGGTTCTCTAGGCATTTAGATTGACCTCTATTCCTCTGATCCTCTAGACGATGCGCCTCAAATCAACATTTTTACAGGGCACATCAGACATCTCAAACACTTGGTGCTTTTGGGTGGGCGCTGGCTATCATGGCAGACAGACGGCAGACAATGGACTGAGGCACCCAGACAAAGTCCGGAACCAGCGCTTCAGCCGCAAAAAAACCTTGGATTTTCTTGAGACACTTGGCTGCACATGCTGAGTGCTCCATATTGTTGAACATTCATACAGCAGCACTAGAGTCTGCGCAAAATCAAAGAAGCTGGCTGGCTCTCAACATTTCACGAACCAGACCTCCCACTAAGTAGCGGTTGTGTGGATACTGGATACTGGCAGGATGGGACTAGTGAACAACCCCAGGAAACACCAGCCTCAGTGCTCTTTTCCTTTTTGGGCCGGCTCCAAGGAGGATCCTGCAGCTTCGGTTTCGAGAGGGGGATTCCTGGCTGCACTGCGATGATTTACATGCTTAAGCTCTATTGAAGAGTTTGCACGGTTCGTTGTCCAATCAAGGACAAGGTGCTGAGCAGGCTTGGCTGAGGGAGATCTTGGAAGCGTTGCGCGTGACAGACATTCTCTCTTAGGTCTTAGGAAGCTAGGAAGAGACACGCGCACACACGCACATTGGGGAGTCCTTTTCTCCTATTCTGGTGTAGGTTGGGGAGCAGAAATGGCGTGCCTGCCTCTGAGCAAAATGCCTTCCTGCCTGCGGGTGCATTCTTGCAGCTTGACGCACACACACACACACACTCTGACATTGGTTTGCTGTTAACTCAATTCCCACGTCGAGAAGGAAGGTGAGGTAACGGAAAGGTGCATGAGTCCGCAAAACAGTATTGTTGAAAAAGTGTTTCCGAAAGCGCTCAAGTGAAAGTGGCGTTCAGCAGCTGCAAAGCGGAGGGAAATGGTTTGGCGGAGGTATCATGAACAACCATGGAAGCAAAAAATGGAAGATTGGACAGCGTGATCAACAGTTAAAAGTGCAGGTACACGGGGATGATCAGTCCCCGCATCCTGGTCGACTGCATGGAGCTTCGTTGGCGACAGCCATGCAGCGACCCTGTCGCCCCGTGCGTGAACCCTTGGAAACAGGGGTTGACACACACGGTGTCGCTTGGCGGCGCTCGCGTGGAAGGCCTGAATAGATACCTAAAAAGCCTTAGAAACAAAAGAAAGAAGCACAGAAAGAGCAGCGCTAAAAGGGCTGGGGTAGGGAAACGCGCCTCAAGAACAACCTAAAAAGCCTGAGAGAAAGCCCAAGAAACAATCAAAAGCGCAAGAAAGAAAGTGGGGGCAGGGAGGGGATGTATGTGGCATGTGTGTGTCCGTGTGTGTGTATGACTACCTAGCACTCTAGGGTTTCTGACTACTTAGCAGAAACGAATTACGTGCAATAGTTAGGGAGCGGGACTTTAGTCTTAAACCGCCCGGGTAGAGTAGACTAGAAAAGGGACAACAGAGGGAAAGGCACCGACACACAAGTGTGTCGAGTACCATTTCCCTGTGTTACCCTAATTAGGTAGGGAGTAGAACACGGTGGGGGGGGGGTTGGGAGACCTGCCTCCAGTGGGTTGAATTCAATTTTTTAGCCCGGCGGCTGTAGTATCCGTAAGAAGCCCGGCGGCTGTCAATCCTGTT